TTTAAATGTGGAATAATCGTATGGAGATTTCGTTTTGTTGTACCTTTTCCAAGCAGAAATTTTCTGTCTCGATGCCCTAATGACATTGCCGTTAAACCAAACAGGATAATTACCTGAAACATTTTTTTTTCTTTGGAACCTAAGCTTGAAAAATTTCATCTAAAACCTGGTAGAAACTAGAAATAGCATCGTCAGCCCTGATATAACTGTAAAGAAATGACCAGTCTACTAACAAAAGTGTGTCATACAAAATACTAAAATTGCATTTTCTGGAGTTATAATCAGACTGAATTGAGGCTGGAAATTTCTTGCGTTGGAACATGTGCATTTTTATATCCATTTCGAGAGCGGGGTGATGACCGTTTTCCCGTAAAGAATCATCACATCGACGTACAATACATTGAGTGTCATTGTCATTATTGATAAAAATAAGATCCAAAAGTCGATTATTGCTATTTAATACATTGCCACTCTGCTTCAAATCATAAAAATTGGTCGAAAGTTGTTTCGACAGAACTTCCCTCGCTCCTGAAATAAAATTATATATTTTTTGAGCCACCCTGTATACGCAAATCCAAAAAATATTAATGGAATGATAAATCACAAGTACAAACTCATCATATTTTGTACATTTTAGATAAGATTTATTCAGCAAAATTTTGGGATGACGTAATAAATTTTTTAGGGGGGATGAGCAAATACATTTTGATCAAAAATTTACCATACTTATGATAAATGTAAAACATCTCCAAGATTTCAAAGCATTCGGTTTTGTAGTTCCTGAGTAAATCAATAAAATAAATTTACGCAATCATTAATTTTTTTGAGTCACCCTGTATATGCAAATCCAAAACATATGAACGGAATGATAAATTACAAGTACAGACTCATCATAGTTTGTACATTCTAGATAGGATTTATTCGCCAAACTTTTGAGCTGATGTCATCAATTTTTTGGAGGGGATAAGCAAATATATTTTGACTAATTATGCACTTTATAACCTTAAAACATTTGCAAGATTTCAAACCATTCGGTTTAGCAGATTCAAAATTAAATTGGAAAATGTTGTTTTATAATTTTGATTTTTTTTTAATTTTGAAGTGACGTCATCGCATCAGTGGTGGGGATGATTAGATAAATTTTGGTTAGTGTTTTACAATCTACATGATATTCCTAATATAAATACACAATTTCACAACAATCGGTCCAGTATTTTCGGAGATTATCTGTCTAATAAAAATCCGGGACGGCAGACAGACGGACAGACGGACAGACGGACAGTCAGACGGAAATGGGAGACCTATTTCTTCGTCTTCTAGGGGTCATGAAAAATCGAGAAAACGTAAAAGTAGAGAGTCGGCCGACGGACTCGATTACAAAACTTCCTTTGCTTACGCTCGGGAAGTAATAGTTATTTATGTTACAAGTGTTGAAAACGGTCCATTGCATTACGAACGGGAATACGGCGCGAGACGCAGTCGAGCGCTGTATGTAAGTGAGTAATGCAATGGAGTTTTCACACGAGTATCATACAATATTTTTTGCGCTGCCTTTTTGAAAAAATAACATTTTTCAATCGCTAAAAGAATAAATATTACTGAACCGAAATTATGTTGGTATAGAATTTATCACCAAAAACGTCAAATACCAACCTGTCAATTTGTCCGGGCTAGATTTTGAATTTCAAAGTTGAAATGGAAATTCGTGCATGTATTCAGAGAACTGCAGATAAAACAACTGCAAATTTGTTGCCTGCAAAATCCGCAAATCCATATGAAGCCGAATGTCAAAAATGCATCAAGTGGTGCGAAGAAAATAAAATACGCGAATTTTCTGAAACGACGCTCTTGGTTTATTTCCAAATTAAGTCGGAAATTATGAAAGCATCCACACTGTGGACAATATATTCAGTTCTAAAAAGTACTCTTGGCATCAAACATAACATAAATCATTCGAAATTTTATAAATTAACAGCGTATTTAAAGCGGCAGAATGACACAAGCCCAAGAAGTCTGAAATACTTACCAGTGGAAACATTTTTATATACGGCTCCAGATCAGAGAGAATCTTGTGATTATGATTCAGCGTGAGGTTTCGAATGACGTCAAGTTTAAACGGTTTTTTTAATTAACAAGAACTACTAACAAACAGTAATAACTAGACAGCGGATTTCTGTCGGGCTACGTCACGATTTTAGTGGGGACGCGCTGCATCGCCGGGACTCAGTAGCGGGTGATAGGTAATCACTGAATTTAATTGTCACTTGATTCCATAAATACAATTAACGATTTATTAATCAAACGGCTAACTAAATGAGAACTGGAATTAACAGCAGAGTGCAACGAAGCAGTGTTATTCTAATCTCAAATAAACGAAGTGCAGCCGGTAACTGCAATGAATTCCCATCCCGTACGAGCCGTACCGAGTTTGGCCTTGTCTAGCCCGACAGAATTCCGCTCTCTAGTAATAACATAATAGTTGTCAACAACATAAACCAAACCACCGATTAGTGTCAACTGTCAAATTACTACAAATCTAAATTTTGATCAACAAATTCCCCTATTTAAGATTACAACTTAAATTGACCTTTTTTTAAATTTTGAGCCACTTTTTGTTATAATAACTTTAGATACATGATTATCAATTAGTCGTAATTACTTTGTGATAATCAATTTATTTTTTCAAAGCTTAAATTCCTCGTTTGTATTTTGCAACACTAGATCCTTTTTCATTGCCATTGCAACACGCCACGTGTCAACGTAAAATGTCAATTACAACTATGGCAGCGCAAGAAAATAATATAATCATTACTAAGACACTGAGCAGGTATGTAAATGACTAGAATGTAAATAGTACGAGAATTGAGAATAATCTTTACCATCAGTAAATCAATAAGGGGTAAAATATCATAGGATGTTATTGCAGATAGAATTATCACATATACTAGCAGATATAGTACGATCCACAGCTAGCAATACACCACCACCTTTTGAGCAGCGGCATGAATTAAAATTGCGATTTTTTCGAAAAACATTATACCTTGCCATATCAAATAACTCTGCATCATGTATGTTATCGTTTAACCAAGTTTCGGTTAATGCAGTTAATTTAAATTGATATGATGAGATTGAAGATAAATAAAATTTTCGTGTTTTGCCACACATACCTCTTACATGTTGGTCATATCAAAACAAAAATGACAAATTAAGCGAACTACTAGACAAAGAGGGACTCATAATCGGTAATTTGGTAGTCGGAGTGTTATGCAATTGAGAACTCTGTGATTGCTATTTGGTACCCAGTATTATAGACCTAAGTTTAGTAAGTTGATTTTGAAACACAGGGGACTTATTGATATCATAAGACGCGCGGTTATCACAATGATCAGGATTCTTTCCTTTAAGAGAATTACAGTGAGTGCACTTCAAAAAATCTGACTCACATTCTTTAAGTTGGTGAGGACCAGCACATTTAGGACATACAGGAGATTTAGCTGAGCATTTGTCAGTCATATGATTAAAACCTAAACATTTGTAACAACGACGAACTTCAATTGCGTCCCTAACCTTACAATAGTCATATTCAATAAATTTTTTTACCAATAGGCATATTTTTGCAAGAAGTTAAATCTAATTCAACTAGAGCTTGTGTACGTTTGTTATTATTTTTCAGAGGCGTATATTTTCTTACTATACATGTATACTTATCAGCACTTAAGAGATTTCTATTCCCATGCACAATGTAATCAACACTAGATTCTTCTGGTATATCCTTATCTATGCAAGTAATTCTTATCCTCGGATTTAAGGTTGGCAACTCTTTGACGTTATAATCTAATAATTTTTTGGTAACTAAGTTTTTAATTTTGTCAGAGTCAGTCGAATTCTTACAACTTATGATAACACTCCCATTTCGACCAGTTTTAACAGATGAAAATTCAACATTAGATTTAACAGGATCAACATGATTTAATAAATCTTTTTTAGTAACAGATACCGATTGATTACTATCTTTAGGTTGTAATATAACAGAAGATTTATTTTTATTAATAACACTTGCGTATGAAACAGTCTTGCTTGTTGAATTTTCCAAAGGAAGTGTTTCTTGTACTTGTTTTAATATTAAAGCATTATGTTCGTGTTGTTTTTCAATAAGATTAAAACATTTATCAACTGACTCTTTTAATTCATCAATTTTTATATTCCCTCTAAAATGAGACACCCACCACATAAAAATCTAAAATTAATATTTACACAATATTTTGAAATCTGCTTCATCAATTTTTAAACATCTATTAGTGTGGTATTTATTGCCACAAGTGAAGCATTTTTGAGTCTTATCAAAGTTTTTAAGGTTTGTGTCACAGATTTTGCACACTGGCATTTTATCAAATTATAAGAGACGAGTGATGATAATCAGATAGCCGCTTCGGAACAAGAAATACCGAGCGGCTAGAAAAAGAAGAAAAAAAAAAGTATAAAGCAAACTTATAGTATGTACTGTTTTCATACCACAACTCCATAGGAGTGAACCTGGTTGCACTAAAAGGGAGTATCAGCCAAATTAAATTAAAATAAGGGAAGACTCAATCACTACACGTCCGTTCACAACGTTCACTCAAATTTCATCAAAAGCTTTAACGAAGTTATTAACAATAGCAATGGGTCAATAATTTGAAATTTCTTATTTATCTCCAGGTTTAAGCATTGGTGTGACTTTAGCTACTTTTATTTTAGTAGATCCTTTAGATAAAGTACCTATCTAAAGATAAATTACTTGTCGTTTGCGTGATAAAGGAAACTTATACGACAAATTAATCATTCTAAAATTGCCTTATTTGTTTTTCTTTATATAAAAATGAATGTTGAAATTACATTTTTTTTAGTTGTTGTGACTGAAGGCATAAGCATTCAAGGATTGTGAAAAAGATAAAGCATTCTTATCATCATTCTTATAACATTCAAGTTTTAAGCACTGAGATAAAAGCCATACACGTTGATAAACGGGTTTAGTTCACATCTTAACCTTAGGGTACAAGTAAGGTTGTTTTATTTATGTAAAATTTTTAACAAACAATTTTATTAAATTGCAAATAGTTTGCAATTATGGAAACAACAATTGATCGTGACAGTGATGTACGAAAGTGGTTAACAGTTGCTCTAACAGGCGAAAATCTTGAAAATTTTTCAGTCGATATAACTGGAAATTCTGAAAAAGGTGACGGATACGCTGGAGACATAATTTTTGTTTTTGTAACAGGAACTGACAAACAAGGCAACCACAAAGAATACGATCTTGTTTTAAAATGCAGTAAACCCAGTGCTGCTTTATTGGAAAATATACCTGCTTTAAGACTAGCGTTTGTGAAAGAAGCTTACATGTATCAAAATGTTTTTCCAATTTTCAAAGAGTTTCAAGTCAGCAGAGGCATGAAAAGACCCTTCGACAGTGTACCGAAATGTTATGGCGTTTATAGTGATGAGTTCAGACTTGTTATTGTGTTGGAAAATTTGAAAAAATTAGGGTATGACTTGTGGCCAAAAGCAAAACCATTATCAAGAGAAGTTATCAATATTGTAATAAAAGACTATGCAAAATTTCATGCTACTTCAGTGGCTTTACAAGAGCAACATCCTAAAAAATTTCGAAAATTGCTCGAGGGTTCTCCTGAAGATGTAATGAAAGAAGCATTTAAGTCATCTGGCTTTGAAAATATGTTTAAAAATGGTGTAGAGATGGTACATGAGTTGCTAACAGACAATGTTAAAAACGACATTTTAGAAAAATGGTTAAAACTTAAAGATCAAGTGTATTTTATTCTTGGTGAAATGGAGCCTGGTGTTGACGATTTAAAAGTAATAAACCATGGAGATTGCTGGGTGAATAATTTTTTGTACAAGTTTGAGGTCCGTAAGCTAAGAAATTTATATTTCAAGTTTGATTTAATTTGATTTACAGAACGAAGAAAAAACGAATGTTTCCAAGGTTGCAATTCTGGACTGGCAAATGTCTAAATTCACATCACCTGTGACTGATCTTTCATATTTTTTGTTTACTGGTATATCGGATGAAGATATTGCTGACATTGAGACTATTTTAAGAGACTATCATAAATACTTGTGCGAGTATTTAAGAGAGCTAAATAGCCAGGTTGCAGATAAATATACTGTAGAAAAATTTTTTGATGAATGGAAGAAGTACGGTAAATTTGGTGTATTGTTTTGTGTTGTGCCAATCCAGTCTTTATATACCGAAAAAGAAGATCTTCCTGATTTGGTTGAAGCTGCAGGCACAGGAAAAGACATTTTGGAATCGTTTACGTTTGAGGTCAAAGATAAAAATGGTTTCAAAAAGAGGTTGAGACCGATTGTTGAATATGCTTTTGAAAACAATCTTATTTAATCTATCTATATCTATTAGAAGTTACGAGTAGTTAGTATTAATGTTTGACTATTGTAGTTATGTGTATAGTCCGTTATATTAGGGAGCTTCATCAATCATCAATTTATAAATGAAAAAAATGCGAAGGATGTAATTCATAGAAGAAAAGTTGATTAAAAATAAAAATGCCATCAAAAGCAGGTTGAGATGCATTGTTGAATATGCTGTTAAGAATAATCGAATTTAATAATTAATAAATCTATTAAAAGTGAGTTATTTAAGAGATACTCTTATCTGAATACATTACTTGCATAATCTGTTTTTCCGTTGTATCAGTAACAATTTTTATTAAATAATGTGCAGCTGTCCTAATTTTATCAGTGTATTTTTATAAATAGAAATCTAAGATAACATTAATATTAGTAGTTTGGACTCTTACTAATCGTTTTTATTAACATATTTTTTTTTAAATTATGAGACTAGGATGTGTCCAATTTATTTATTTCATTTCAGCCTTTTTCTGATAACTATAATACTTATTTCAAATCTTGTTTGGACTTTTTTAAATAATTCTTAATTAGATTACAGATGTATTTATTCATTTTGTATATCATTAAGATATATTTATTTTTGTAAATAGGTAGGAATCAGAACCTTGCGGTTGTTATTGTTTACAAATAAATTTGATTAACCATTGTATTTTGTTATATCTGTGAGAATGTAAAGTCTCATTTGTTGAAAACAAACATTCCCTTGTGTAATAGAAGTAATAGATATCAACAAAAAGTAAAAAAAAATTAGTTCATTAATTTTACGAGTTATTTACATTAAAATGTTTTCGAAAAATTTTGGTCACGGTACATTTGATAAACAACAGTTGGGGCATTGATAAGAATCAAAAAGAAAATAATGTGCATTGTGGATCTAATATCTTCAGCTTTACATCATTTTATTATCATTAAATCTGTCGTAAAGTCGATACCTGCCATTTCAGGGCATTCATTAAAGAAATTGTTGGTCACGACGAAGGTACTAAGCGGTAATACGGTTTACGCTAGACTCGATTTTTTTTATTACTGTGATGCGCACGCTATTCCAAAATCAAAGGTTTCGACAGCCAGTGGACTATCATTTGTTCTGTGACTACCATGTTCATTATTGCCATAAGTGAGTTTTATATTTTGTAAGAATTTTACCATTTTTATGAGCAGCGCAAGGTGAGTTATTTGAATTTGGTTATTCATTTGAGAGTTAAATTGCCTTTAATTTTGAATCTGAAGTAACCTTTAAGTGATAACGATCAATTTGATAGTGATTTTTGTTAAAGGTTTTACACAATTAATGTCTGTCTGAAAAACTATAAATTCTTGCTCATTTAATTTATTTAGTTTATGCCTTTCACGGTATATTGTGAAATCTAATTAATAAAAACTCTGCTTTAAAAGCAGTTAAAAATTATCCGTGATATTTATGCTCTTTCAGATGGCCCACCGCCACCGCCATCCTGACATCGTCCCTACACTCACTGACAGTAAAAACATCACTACGAAGCCAGTAAAATCTCACCCCATCAAACAAATTTCCCTAACAAAACGACCACCGTTAGACGAGCTAAGCAACAAACTTGTCAATAATAAGCCCGGAATCAAGAAGTTTGATCCCGCCAAAGACCAAAAAGAAGTCTCCAAGCCCGGCCATCCAGCAAAAAAAGAAAATCAGTCCATCATCTTCTTCTCAGTTAACAACTGCTGTTGAACATGACCCACAAACTTGCAATGACTCCCGAATGGCATCAGAATATCTGGGTGATATTTTCAAATATCTTCACGAACTGGAACTGAAGTACCCGGTAAAACCGAATTTTCTGGAAAACCATCAGTCGACGCCTCGAATGCGAGCCATTTTAGTCAACTGGTTGATTCGAGTCCACGAGCAATTTGAGGTCTCCCTTGAATCCCTACATATGTGTATTTCGCTAATTGACAGGTACCTCCAAGACAACACTCAGGTGGGCAAAGAAAATTTGCAGCTAGTTGGAACTTCGGCTCTGTTGATCGCTTGTAAATATGAGGAGACGGATTACCCGGCGCTGGAGGATTTCGTGTATATATGTGACAACATGTTTTCAAGGAAAGAGATTTTGAAAATGGAGATCAGTATTTTAACGGCTTTGCAATATAATCTAGGGAAACCGCTTTCCATACATTTTTTAAGGCGATATAGTAAATTAGGGGATGTCAAACTCGAGCAGCATAATCTTTCCAAGTACTTGTGAGAACTGGCTCTTTTGGATCACAGTATGTCACGTATTAGACCTTCACTGCAAGCTGCAGCTGCTTGTTGTTTATCAATCGCTATTTGTAGCAACGCAAGTTGTCCATCTAGAGTATGGTCTGGACCCCTCGCACAGAATTCTAATTGTAAATATTGCGAGTTCAAAGATGTAGTTGTTAAATTTGCTAAGCTGCTAATAGCTGCACAATCCTCGAAACATAAGTTTGTTCAGGAAAAATATGCGAACAGTAAATACAGTAAGATTAGTTTGAACCCGAAACTAAAAGGGTTTTTAGTTAAAAGACTAGCCGAGATTGCGTCCAAAGTGTGACCCTTTTTTATTACTATAATTATTATTGTACAATTTTTTAACCAATATAATTTTACCACATCTGATAATGTTGTCTACATTGTTGACATTTTCATAAAATATTTTATTATGACTTCTATAACACAAATACAATTATTGTTTGTTACGTAAAATGTTTTAGTATCTTACTGACTTATGTGAAAAACGGGCCACTTAATATTTTTCTGAATACAGTGCTTTGTCTTCTTTTTTCTATATGCTTAATTTTGATGTTGTTTCACCAGCATATTAACTGAGACGTCCGGGAACTGGTCCCCGTAGACTTTGGTATTGAGAAGTAGGTCCTTTGGTATGTACGGAATGTCTCCATGAACGAACGGACTCTGCAAAGGTCTGAGGAAGCGGAACTCAAAGACCTACCACTGGTCCAGAGCGTCTCAGTCAGGCTACAGTTCAATCGGGATGATCAAAATTGTTAGCAGAATGACTGGAGACTCGTAATGATTTCTGACGGGTCGAGGTTTGGTCCCATGGTGTCAAATTTCCTGCTGCGGAACTGTAGAATTTTTATCATTTTAAATTAAAGTATTTTAAACTTTTTTTTGCAGATTTTTAGACGTTTTTCTCCAAAAAAAGGGCGGGCCGTTTTTCATGCCGGTCAGCGTATAATATAAAATAAAGGATTGTCACAAAATATTCTGTTAGTTTATAACGATAAAGACCAAACTGTAAAATAAAAGAAATACACGGTGTATCAAAACGCAGTGGCGCAGATTACAGTGAATAAGGGAAAATTATGTAAAAAATTCTAATTGATTTAAATCTAGGTTTATAAAGCTTTCCATATATGGAAATGTGGCATCGCTGTTAGAATGTTTTAACAATGAATTTTCGAAAACTAATAATAATAGGTATAATTGTTTCCATCACAACTTTTAACAAATGTCAAAATGACTTAATACATTCAAAAAATAACCCGAACATAAATAGTGGAAGTGGAGTAACTAATAGAAAACCATTATGATTAAATACGTACATTAATAATTACAACAAATGTTCAAATGACAAAATTGCATTGGAGTTGAAAATCTCTTGGTGTTAAAGCTTGGACTTTTGTAAAATTTTTGGCATTAACGTAAAGTGAATTCCAACATTTTGTGCAACTGCTTTTGATAATATATAAATAAACTTTATTTCCAACAGGTTTTACACCCACTTACAGGAAATAATAAAATTAAACTATATATGATTGAGAGAGTACATAAGTTACTTAATTTAGAAATTATTATAAAAAAGAAAAAAATAATAAATAAAGAGAAACCGGGCTAAACTGCACCAAAATTAAATAAAACTTCCTAAATTTAAAGACCAAATTCTTCAATAACAGTACAGCTTAACGAACTCGCGTTGTCAAAATTAATATCAAACTTCCTACATATTTGGTTACAGTAATTACACATTAAAGATATGGGGGATTTATACATAGCATTGGTTCTATTGAACGAACTATAAAAAGTATAAACATGCCGTGTGCCCTGACGCGGAATAGGAAAATTTACTTCTTTTAAAAGTGATGAACAGTTAATTTTATAATTAACTAAATTATACAAAAATCGGACTAGCAATATTATTCTTCTTGTACTCAGTGAGTTAATATTAAACCTAGAAAGTAAAGTCCCATGATCGAAGCCTCTTGCAGGGTACTAGCCGTCTAAGAGCAAACACACAAATTTTAAAAATGATCTTTAAACTGATCCAATGAATACAATATGTATTTTGTATATAGGAAACCAAATAATTGCTCCATACTCTAACCTAGATCTAACTAAAGAAAAAAACAGCAGAAATAAAGTACGTATATCAGAAAAATCACGACAATTCCTATATATAAACCCATAGGTTCTGAAAGCTTTTTTGACCATGTCTTGTATGTGTCCAACAAAAGTAAACTGATTATCAAACAAAATGCCGAGGTCTTTGATACACTCTAAACGATTTACATTGACAGAGTTAATATTATATGGATAGTTAATGGTTTGTTTTTTTCTAGAATATGTTACAACATTACATTTAGAGACATTTAGCGACAGTCGATTCAAGTTGCACCATCTCAAAACTGCATCAAGGTTCTCTTGTAAAGCTTCACCGTCCTCTGTCCATTTAATTTCAGCATACAATTTATAATCATCGGCAAATAAGAGACTTTCACAAGTAACAACTTCTGGCAAATCGTTAATAAACAGCAAAAAAAGGAGAGGTCCTAAATTGGACCCCTGGGGTACTCCCAAAGATGGTGAAAATGTCGAAGACGTATAGTTGCGATATCTCACATACTGTTGTCTACCAAGCAAATAAAACTTTAACAAAGCTAGTAGTTCCGCAGAAAAACCCAAGGCATTTAACTTGTTAAGCAAAACAAAATGATTAATTTGATCAAAGGCTTTTTGGAAGTCCGTATACACCACATCAGTTGCGGCTCCTCAGAGGAGGCAGGGGAGGCTGAGCCTCCTCTGTTTTTTGTAGCTGAGCTTCCTCTAATTTTTTCGATGAAAGAATTTTTATTTTTGTAGACATTTGTTACTTTTCAGGATATTTTGTTTGATTTAATTTACTTTCATCATATATCAGGTCAAAATGTCGAAAAAAAAATATATTTGCGCCCTTACAATCATAATTCAGACCGCTCCGCGTTTGACTTCAGCGGTAGAAGCTAGCCTCCGCCGAGAATGCATCTTGCTATTGAGACCGTAGACCTTGACGCAGCGTCATTGAGTACTGCATTGGCTACAACGTCGATCGGGGTGCCGCTTCAGGCCGCTAGCCTCCGGCTAGTTCATCTCTTTTCAGATCAAGTCGCACGGATAATTTTATCTCTTTCTTATTAATTGTATCGGGTGTAAATAGGAAAAACATTGAGGTGGTTTCGCGTGCTCCCTATTCAGTAGTGAGTGGTGTTTAGGCTTTACGTAGTACCTACGTAAAGCCTAAGGTGTTTTTTGTATCATTTATTTGCATTTTATTTCTGATCGTTAAAAACAGTTGGTATTATCGGCATATTAATATTATTTATCGAGAATGAGCAACGAAAATAATTCAGTCTCATGTGCAGATACGTAAATTATCTATTAAAAAATTAATTTAGTAGCTTTGATTGTGATAAAAAGATCGCTATAAAACAAAAGGGGAGACCAACACCAACACTCCCATTAATGGTAATGACAGGTAAAAAGCAAAACAGAGCATTTCATGAAAATAATTATAATAAAACTAAATGGTTAACGCCTTCGGTTTTAAGAAACAAATTATACTGTTGGAGTTATTCACAAGTGATAAATCTTCCGTTTGGGATAAAACAGGCTATAATAATTTACAAAATTTGTCAAGAGCTATAGAAAGGCATGAAAAATCACATCTACTACTTTAGATTCCGCTCATAAGAGGGATATTGAGAACTATAACGAGGAAGTTGGTGAAAATAGGGCAATTTTGAAAATACTAATCAATGCAATAGTTTATTTATCTATCAACGCAGGAGTGTTCTTCTCGTGGGCATGCCAAAAAAAATATTCAGATAATGAAAGATATAAAAAGTAGTGCTTTTCAAATTTGAGCCTTCTCTGAAGAAAACTTCACGAGCCGCCACTGCACCACATCAACTTGACTGTTATTGTCAGTAGCTTTAGATACAAATTGCGATAGGCAGGCTAAATTGGAGATTGTAGATCTTTTCTGGACGAAGCCGTGTTGAACTGGAGTGATCAAATGACTAACAGATGAATAAATTCGCTTATATATAATAGACTCGAAAACTTTAGCAAAATTGCATATTAAGCAAACTTGCCTATAATTTTCTACATTGGCTTAGTCACCCTTTTTAAAGATTGGACAAATAGCAGCATTTTTCCATTGAGATGGAACCGAAGATTGCCGAAGTATTAAATTGAATAGCAAATACAACGGGTTAACAAGAACCGATGCACAGTCTTTCAAGGAGAAGGTTGGGATACCGTCAGGTCCAGACGTCATAGTATTTTTACAGGACTTTAATGCTTCTATTATTTCATCTTCCGATATGTATGAGATGGTTAGGTTCAAATTTTGAATTAAGTGTAAAGTAGATGGTAAGTTGTTAGGGTCTGATTTCACATACACGCTACTAGTATTCACCAAAAGTATTCACTATAGACTGCGGTGATTCCAACTTAACATTATTGAACTCCATTGACCCAGGAATTCTAGTTCTACCTTTCTTGTACTCGATAAATCACCAAATTTTTTTTGGATCACTTGAAACAACAAGTTCCATATCTGAGATATACCTTCTATAGGCGGTAGCCATGAGAGTTTTAATTTTAGCTCGATGACAGCTAAATAGTTGATAATAATATTGCGTTTTGAATTTTTTGTATTGCTTTAAAATTTTGTTTTTAGTATGAAGACTTCTAATAATTTCTGAAGTAAACCAGGGCGGATAGTAAGCCTTCCGAGATCGGTTAACTTGCAGTTTAGGAACACTTGCGTTAAAAGCTTGATGTAATAAATTTTGCAAAATAATGTAGGCAATTTCAACATCATCGCACGAGTCACAACTCGACCAGTCAGTGGAAGCTATTAAGCTATACAATAAAGGAAAGTTGGCCCTCCTAAAATTATAACTTTTTTCGTTATGGTTCATGCAAAAATTAGTGGACTTTTGGGAATTATATGTATTCAGTTTAATAAACAAGGTAAGATGATGCGAATCTTCATCAACTAGAGGAGTCAAACATTTCTCTACCTGAGTATTAAGATTGGCAAAGACCAAATCTAATAAGCGATTAAGATAATTTTGTATGTTGTTGTATTGACTAATGTCCTGAAATTCCTTGAAATTATTTATTATATTGCCAAATCTGTCTGGTATAGATGTATTGAATGAAGGCGTATTAAAGTCACCTAGTATCAGTACTTTGTCATCCCCAAGAATTTTCAACGAACTTAGAAGTTCAAAGAATAAGCTAAAGTCATCGAAAGAAGTTGAAGGCGGTAAATGTATAAGTAAAACATACAACTTCACAAAATTAGTACATTGTAGCTTAGCACTATCATTGGTAACATTTCATTAAAAATAGACAAGTCCAAATTAGTTGTCGATAGTGTATCTTTGAAAGCTAGCACTACACCACCTCCCCTACTGACCTTGGAACCTTCAGTTATTCGATCTTTGCGAAATACTATGTAGTTATGCGGAAATATTTCAGAGTCGCTGATGTTTTTTAGCCATGATTCAGTTATTGCTATTATGTCAAAATTTGCAGAAGAAATCGCATTGAAAAAATCGACTACCTTAGATCTCAAACCAAACATTTTGATAAATACAATTAAGGGCTTTGTAACTGGGTGTTGAATCTAGTTTAAATGAACAATTTTTGGAGTGCCATTAATGTAGCGAATTCTGAGATTAGCTTCTCCATAGTTAGTTAATATATTTTAATTTTATCTTTATTCAGCGGCTGTACATTTCTTACGATTGAAATTGAATTGCAGTGAAAATCTATAAATCTTTAATAATTTAAAGAACAAAAGTATTAATTTTCTTCTTCTTCACCGTCATCTTCTCGACATTCGGGAATTTCTGTTTCATCGTCGTCATCTTCGGTGCCCTGAATCGTTGTTTCCAGACCTTCCAGTTATAATCATGATAGAAAAATAAGTATTTAAAAACTTACACATTTTAAAGATATTTTTGATTTATCACAATATAATGTAATTCACACAAGTTGACATTAAGGTTTTTTTTCTAATCAAGGAGGGTAGTTGCATATTTCCAATGCATAAGATTGTGATAACTCAAAACATTCCATCTTAAATTGACATCTGAAAAAAAAAAATGAAATCCTCGAAAAATCAAACATTTTTTTTTTCGTCTAACAAAATGGAACCTACGTTTTTTTGTGGTGAAATGAGTTCAGATGTAAGTGGTGGACTCCAAGGTTGGAAAAGTACCGCACGTGGTTGCGCTCACAACAAACAAACCAAAAAGTCTTGGTATATAGTACCTAAACAGTGTAGAAAAAATAGTTTCAATTAAAAAACATGTATTTAAGTATGAGACGACAAATCTTGAATAGCGCTTTGGCATCTGTATTACCTGTTCGCCCTCTTTCCCCGAGAGAGACCTTTCTAATTCTTGGTGAATTAATTATTCTCGCTTGTACACAAAACAGAAACGTATGTAGATATATTTAATTAATTTTATCATCGTTATGATGACACTGCAAGTTTTGAGCCACCGTTCAGATAAAAACCACACGCATTTATAAACGGATCTACTCCATAGGCGAACAGTCTGTTTAAACTTATGTTAAAAGAACTGCGATACAATTTTTAAAAAACAGTTTGTATTCAACTACGTTTTATTAAAACGTTACATATGTAATAATGCAAACGAAAACTGAACGTGACAGTGATATTCAGAAGTGGTTAAAAGTTGCTCTAGCTGAAGAAAATTTAAAAAGTTTTTCATATGAAATAACTGGAACTTCTGAAAAAGGTGATGGATACATAGGAGATGTAATTTTCGTCATTGTAACAGGGACTGACAAACAAGGCAAGAACAAAGACTACGATCTTGCGTTAAAATGCAGCAAATCTAGTGCTGCTTTAATGGAAAGCGTACCTGTCTTTAGAAAAACGTTTGTGAGAGAATCTTACTTGTATCACCATGTTTTTCCACTTTTCAAACAATTTCAAGTTAGCAAAGGCATCGAAAATCCCTTTGACAGCGTCCCAAAATGTTACGGTATTTATAAAGATGAATTTAGATACGTTATTGTGTTGGAAAATTTGAAGAAATTAGGGTATGATCTGTGGCCGAAAGCAAAACCATTGACAAGGGAAGTTATAGACATTGTAATAAAAGATTATGCAAAATTGCATGCGACTTCAGTTGCTTTGGAAGAGCAACATCCTGAAAAATTTCAAAAATTGCTAGAGGGGTGTAGTGAAGATTTAGTAAAACAAATTATTGAAACAGCTGGCTTTGCAGATATGTTTGAAGATGCAGTGGAAGAAGTTTATGAGCTGTTAACTGATGCCGTAAAAAATGACATCTTAAACCAATGGTTAAAGCTTAAAGATAAAGTTCGTTTTATTTTGGGTGAAATGACATTTGGTGTTGACGACTTAAAAGTAATAAACCATGGAGACTCTTGGGTGAACAATTTTTTGTACAAGTTTGAAGTATGTGACTTGACATCTGTATACATATTTTAAGGTTAAATTTAATTTAATTTTTAGAATGAAGAGAAAACCACCGTTTCCAGGGTAGCTATACTCGATTGGCAAGTTTCTAAATTCACCTCACCTATGACTGACCTGTCGTACTTTTTGTTCGCTGGTATATCGAAGGATGATATTGTTGACATTGACACTATCTTGACAGAGTATTACACATATTTTTGCGAGTATTTACGAAGACTAGATAGCAAGTTTGCAGATACATACACCGTAGAAAAATTTTTTAATGAGTGGAAAAAGTATGGTAAATATGGTTTGGTTTTGTGCATTATGCCGATTAAATCTTTGTATTCGGAGAAGGTAGATCTTCCGGATATGGCTGAAGCTGCAGACAAAGGAGCAGATATTGGTGAATCTTTAAAATTTAACATCAAAAATAAAATTGGCTTCAAAAACAGATTGAGACCGATTGTTGAATATGCTGTTATAAATAATCTAATTTAATAAAGTTGTTAAAACCTGACACATATTAAGTAGTATTTATACAGGGTTAGTATAAAGTCCTGGAGCGGTCGAATAACTTTGTTATTTGATTTTTTTTTTGTGAAATTTGCTTTGAATATATAGTTAAACATGGTGGGTTGGTTACAACATTTTTCCTCTTTTTATCGCTCTCAATCATATATAATTCATTGTGACATTTTGTTGATTGTTTACATCACTGCCAAATTGTAGTTTATTATTTCTTAGTATCAGAATATGTCAAAAAATCTGTTCCATTGAGAAAAAATTGGTCTAAAGAGTTTAGACAGTACTTCCCTCGCTGTCGGAAACTTGACGACTGCATGCCTATTGTGTTTTTTTTTCTCATTACATTTTTGTAGTGGGAATTTAAAAAAAAATGTGATGACGTCATCAACATTTTTGCAAGGACACGTATATCAGTTGGGATAGATGTAGTGTAATACTAAGAATAAAATTATTGTATTCCCAAATTTTCGGGAACATGAATTGGGTCGTTTTGAATATTGATTTCTTATAATCAATAAAATAACGAAGGATAAGGAAACAATTTACTCAGGTATACGGCGCCGGTGTGTAATATCTAGAGAGCGGATTTCTGTCGGGCTAGGCAAGGCCAAACTCGGTACGGCTCGTGCGGGATGCGAATTCATTGCGACTGCGGACTACACTTCGTTTATTTGAGATTAGAATAAAGCTGTTTCGTTGCACTCTGCTGCTAATTCCCGTTCTCATTTACTTAGCCGTTTGATTAATAAATCGTTAATTATATTTATGGAATTAGTACCGATTAAACGTGACGTAGCCCGACAAAAATCCGCTGTCTGGTAATATGAAACGCAACTGAAAATTGTTTATGTATAAACATTCTTAATTTAAGATGACAAGCGTAACAGCATACGTGAGAGTCAAACAGAGAAACTGTAAACAAAACGACCATCGGTTTTATTGCTTCGACTTCCGCTTATTATATAAAACATTGGGTTTTATTTTAATTCTTGACGGTGAAATTCACAATTGGTTGATTATAAACATGTCTATTCCACATTCGCGGAACCAAGTGACGGCATAAAACAAATGCAGGTCTGTAATGTTAAAGTCGATGTAAATAAGCGTGCTACCCTTATGTTTCAACCGAGTTTTTCCTTTAACAAATTTTGTGTCTACCAAATTGGGTTGGTTAGGGTGTAATACTAATAATAAGTGTTGCCTTTAATTTAATCAATAAAATAAATTGACTTCATTAATTTTTTTGAACCACCTCTTAAGAATATCTAAAAAATATGAATGGAATGATATATCACAAGTACAAACTCATCATATTTTTTGCATTTTAGATAGGATTTATTCAGTAAAATTTAAGGGTGACGTCATCAATTTTTTTAGGAGGGATGAACAAATACATTTTGAACAAAAGTTTACCATGCTTATAATAACTTTAAAATATTCCCAAGATTTCAAAGCATTTTGTTTTGTAATTCCTGATTAAATCGATAAAATAAATTCACACCTTCATTAATTTTTTTGAGTCACCCTGCATATGCAAATCCAAAAATATGAATGGAATGATAAATCACAAGTACAGACTCATTATATTTTGTACAATTTAGATACGATTTATTCGGCAAACTTTTGAGCTGACGTCATCAATTTTTTGGAGGGGATAAGCAAATATATTTTGACTAAACATTTATTATGCTCTTTATAACCTTAAAACATCTGCAAGATTTCAAAGCATTCGGTTTTGTAGTTTCTGAGTAAATCAGTAAAATAAATTTACGCATTCATTAATTTTTTTGAGTCACCCTGTATATGCAAATCCAAAAAATATGAATGGAGTGATAGATCACAACTACAGACTCATCATATTTTGTACATTTTAGATATGATTTATTCCACAAACTTTTGAGCTGACGTCATCAAGTTTTTTGAGGGGATAAGCAAATATTTTTTGACTAAAAATTTATTATGCTCTTTATAGCCTTAAAACATCTGCAACATTTCAAAGCATTCTGGTTAGCAGATTAAAAATTAAATTTCAAAATGTTGTTTTATAATTTTGATTTTTTTTCCAAAAATCTGGACGTTTCGGGTGAAAAGTCGATTCAGAGTTGTAAACTACATGTGTAGGACTATGTTATTTTATACAATTGAAAACCCATTTACTATGTACAATTTTGAAGTGACGTCATCGCATTAGTGGTGGGGATGATTAGACAAATTTTGGTTAGCGTTTTACCATCTACATGATATTCTTGATATAAGTACAAAATTTCACAACAATCGGTCGAGTACTTTCGGAGATTATCTGTCTAATAAAAATCCGGGACAACAGACGGACAGACGGACAGACGGACGGACAGACGGACGGACAGACAGACGGAAATGGGAGACCTATTTCTTCGTCTTCTAGGGGTCTTGAAAGATCGAGAAAACGTAAAAGTAGAGAGTCGGCCGACGGACTCGATTACAATACTTCCTTTGCTTACGCTCGGGAAGTAAAAAATAGAAACTTTATTTGTTGATAGTTGATTTAGTGTTATTTCGGTTTCAAATTATCACGAATATTATCCTAAAATCGTGCGTATAGTTCACGGCTTATAAGAGTTTTTTTCAGTTTTTTGCTTACGGACTATATACGAAGCGGACTATAAGATATTATAGATTAGAAAATAAGAGGTAGGTGGGTAGTTAAATACATTAGGTCTTTTACTTCGAATTAATTGCCACATTTGACAAATAGATGTGAAAACCTAAAATCTTCTGTTTAGATATTTACTTACCTACTTGTAACTTAAATCCAGCCGTAAACGCTTTTTGCTTCGTTTTATTTTGCGGCTCAACCGTATAAGTATTAGCCGTGGACTATCTGCGAGATGTGGACTATCTGATTTCTTGGAGGGAATAGACAAAAGATGCGGACCATATGCGAGAGCGGACTATACGTGCGATTTTAGGGTAATCCATTTAATTTCATCAATAAAAAAGTTAAGAAGGAAATAATCATAATAACAGAAACACTGATTTTATGTGTACATGATTTGATAATAGTAGAATTTAAAATTTTGAATTGAATAAAGGTAATTACCTTTATAGGGCAAATTAAAGACTTCATTGTTAGCGAATAAGAAGCTATTGTTATGAAAATGATATGTCGTTGATAAACATTTTATGCTATCAAATGAAAGATTTAAAGTTTCAGAAACTGTTTTTCTGTCTGCATTTTGGCATTTTTTGGAAGATTTTTGTTTCCTGAATATAAAATTTCGGTTCGTAAAATGCAGATGTACATTATTAATTATTATATACTACTATTTTGCACCATTTATGCTCTTTTTGTCGCCTTTATTACGAGGTTAACATAGTGGAGCTTATGATAAGAAAAAGCACACAATGTTTAAGATAACCAGACTATGATAGAATCTGTATATCACTTAGGTATCTTAAATCACTGAGGAAAGGAATAAAATAAGTTAATAAGAACAGAAAAAAAGGAAAAATTGTTCACAGATTTGGAAATAGCGCGACATTTTTTAACTCTAACCATACGAAAAGAATTGTGGACTTAATCGCTATGTTAAGTTTAAAAAAACACACACCCATGTGTTGCAAGCTGCTACCAAGCCTTCTTTATTAGAAAACCTAAGGCAAATGTCAACGTGTTTCACTTATTTTCAAAAAATATTTTACAAAAATGTAAAACTTGACGTGTCAAGTATAAACACCACAGATAACAAAGAACAAATTGTGCTTTAACTAAAGTAGAGAAAATAAGTTAAATATCTTACGCTTTGCTGAAAAAAACATAATAGCACTTGAAATGCTTAACTTGTTTCTTTACTTGTACTTTAACAGTCCCCATATAACTTTATTTTAAATTAGGAGTATAAGTGTTATCAGATTTTATGATTTTTCAAAAAGGCTAGTTTTATTCGACTATACTTAAGGGGCAGGGGAAGTTCTGTTTGATATTTTAGTAAATTTCGTGCACACGCATCAGATAATTACAAAGACAATAAATGGCAATTATATAAAACATCTAATGATTTTTTTTTATATAAAAAGAAACGTAAAATTAACCATAATACAAAAATAATAGTTATGACGGTTTGAAGAAATTTAAGAAATATCCTTTTCACCCATTAAATTCACAGACGACATTATTAGGTTGTTATTTGAATGATAAGTAAGTCAAATTGCGATAATAAATAATCACTTTAAATCTGAATTAACTACTTTCACTTTAAGCTAAATAAATAATTATGATCATGATTAAGATGTTTAAAAATGCTTACAAACGTGATTCTTACGTTTTTATATTGTATTGTACTACTCAATTTCAATCATTACTCATATAAAAACCACACACATTGATAAATCGGTTCAGTTCACATATGCACAGCCTGTTGAATGTTACGTTAAACGTACGGCTGCCTAATTTCTAACAAACAAATTGCTGTTTTTTTTGTAATAATGGAAACAAAAACTGACCGTAACAGTGATATTCGAAAGTGGTTAAAAGTTGCTCTAGCAGAAGAAAATCTTGAAAGTTTTTCAGTCAAGATAACTGGAAGTTCTGAAAAAGGTGACGGATATGTAGGAGACGTATTTTTCCTTGTTGTAACAGGAATTGACAAACAAGGCAAGAACAAAGAATACGATCTTGTTTTAAAATGCAGCAAATCTAGTGCTGCTTTAATGGAAAGTGTACCTGTTTTCACAAAAGGATTTGTAAGAGAAGCTTACCTGTATCAGCATGTTTTTCCACTTTTTAAACAATTTCAAATTAGTAAAGGCATCGAAAAGCTCTTTGATAGTGTGCCGAAATATTATGGTGTTTACAGCGATGATTTCAGACATGTTATCGTGTTGGAAAATTTGAAGAAATTAGGGTATGACTTGTGGCCAAAAGCAAAACCACTATCAAGGGAGGTTATAGATATTGTAATAAAAAATTACGCAAAATTTCATGCGACGTCAGTGGCTCTCGAAGAGCAGTGTCCTGAAAATTTTCAAAAATTGCTTAAAGGTTTAGCTGAAAATTTAGCAAAAGAATTTATTGAAACAAGTGACTTTGCAAATATGTTTCAAAGTGCTGTGGAAGAGGTATATGAACTGCTAACTGAAGATGTTAAAAAGGAGATTTTAGAGCAATGGTTAAAACTCAAAGAAAAAGTTTATTTCATTTTCGGTGAATTGATATCAGCTACTGATGACTTAAAAGTAATAAGCCATGGAGACTCTTGGGTGAACAATTTTTTATACAAGTTTGAAGTATGTGAGCCAACAAATCTATTTGTTAAGTTTAATTTCATTTATTTTATAGAATGAAGAGAAAACGACCGTTTCCAGGGTAGCTATACTCGATTGGCAAGTTTCCAAATTTACTTCACCTGTGACTGACCTGTCATACTTTTTGTTCGCTGGCATATCGAAAGAAGACCTTGCTGACATCGACACGATTTTAAGAGATTATTACAAATACTTATGCGAGTATTTAAGAAGGCTAAGTAGCAAGTTTGCAGATACATATACTCTAGAGAATTTTTTTGACGATTGGAAAAAGTATGGTCAATATGGTTTGGTGATGTGCATTATGCCGATCAAAACTTTATATTCAAAGAAAAAAGATCTTCCGGATCTGGCTGAAATTGCCGACCGAGGATTAAATGTTGTCGAATCTCTTAAATTTGAAACCAGTGATAAAAATGGCTTTAAAAACAGGTTGAAACCAATTGTCGAATATGCTGTCAAAAATAATCTGGTTTAATAACATGTTCAAACCTAGATGTTGTTATTATTTATAGATATTTTAGCTGCTGATAGTTATTGAAGCTTTATTTCACTTTTACTGTATGTTGAATATTCATCAATGTAGTTTTATTAATAAAAAAGTTAAGAAGGAAATATTAGTGCTAAAGCTCTGCTATGTTCTATAAATTCGCTGTTGTAGCGTATTATCATGTGTCGAATAACGATAGACGACCATACAAAATATGTACAATATAAATTTTGTGTTAGGTATACATTGCTTCTTGCAATACTGTACTACCTCGATTTATAGAAAGATTAAGTTTCAGGGTGCACTAGTTTTGTTGCAAAAGTTTTTGTTACCGTTGTTATGACTTTAACATGGTAGGGATTAAGATAAATAAGCAAACAGTGTTTTTGTTACATAATTTAGTTATCATAACGCAATTTATATTTTCTACCAATGAAGTGGCAATACTGCACTTACATTAGACGTAAGACTATATCATTTTTAAGAAACAATTTAAGTACCCACATATACCTATATCAAATTGTTAATTTTTTGTAATAATGAAAATAAGAACTGATCATGACAGTGATGTTCAAAAGTGGTTAAAAGTTGCCCTAACAGAAGAAAATCTTGAAAATCTTGCAGTCAAGATAAATGAAAATTCTGAAAAAGGTCACGGATATGTGGGAGACGTAATTTTCGTTGTTGTAGAAGGAATTAACAAACAAGGCAAAAACAAAGAATACGATCTTGTTTTAAAATGCAGCAAACCTAGCGCTGCTTTAATAAAAAAGGCACCTCTTTTTAGAAAAGCGTTTGTGGGAGAAGTTTACTTGTATCAACATGTTTTTCCACTTTTCAAACAATTTTAAGTTAGCAAAGGCATTGGAAATCCCTTCGATGGCATGCCAAAATGTTATTGCTTTGGAAAATGTGAAAAAATTAAGGTTCAAGCTGTGGTCAAAAGAAAACCAATAAGAAGGGAAGTTATACATAGATACTGTGATAAAAGATTATGCAAAATTTCATGCGACTTCAGTTGTCTTGAAAGAGTAGCATCCTGAAAAATTTCAAAAGTTGCTAGAGGGCTCTGCTGAAAATTTTGTAAAACAAATTATGGAAACAGCTAGCTTTATAGATATGATTCAAGATGCGATAAAAGAAGTTTATGAGCTGCTAACTAATGATGTTACGAGTATTTAAGAAGACTAGATAACAAGTTTGCAGATACATACACCATAGAAAATTTTTTTGACGAGTGGAAGAAGTATATTCAATATGGTTTGGTTTTGTGCATTGTGCCGATCAAATCTTTATATTCAGAGAAAGAAGCTCTTCAGAATAGAGCTGCAGTTGCAGAGAAAGGAGTAGATATTGGTAAATCTTCAAAAATTTGAAACGCAAAATAAAATTGGCTTCAAAAACAGATTGAAACCGATTGTCCAATATGCTGTTAAAAATAGTCTAATTTAATAAAATGTTAAAACTTAGATGTTACTGTTATTTGGATATTTTAATTGCTGATAGTTGTTTTAGTTTTATGTTGGTTTCAGAGTATCACGAATTTTCATCAGTTTAATTTTATCAATAAAAAAAGTTAAGAAGGAAATAATCACAACTGAAGCACTGTTCCTGTGTGTTTTAAAAATTCGCTGTTGTAACCTAACTTTAATTTCGTTGTCCGCTAAAAATTTGTAGCCATGTTGCCGCTTATGTTATTGGAAGAAATTGCAACGTTGGTGGACGTGGAAAAACGTAACCTTGCCAAAATGTTGATGATGTCACACAATATTTTGTTATGGAAAAACTAACTTGAAGTTCATAACTTGTTTCTTTATCTGTACTTTAACAGTCCACGTACCTATATCATTATTTTAAAATACCTATAATCGTTATCATGAAAAAATAAAGCTCGTAAAATCAGATTTAATAATTATTCAAAACTATACTTCAGAGGCAGGGGAAGTTCTGTTTAATAACTTGATAAATTTCGTGTACACGTATCAGATAATTACAAAGACAATAAATAGTAATTATTTAAAAAAAAAAAGAAATAAAATTAGCTATAATACAAAAATAAAATAAAATATGACGATTTGAAGAAATTGAAGGAATATCCTTTTCACCCATTAAATTACAGATGGCATTATTAGTTGTTATGTGAATGATAAGTCAAATTACGATAATAAATAATCACTTTAAAACTGAATTAACTCCTTGCACTTTGTACAACAACAGATTTGTAATAAGCTAAATAAATTATTGTTATTATCATCATCATCGAAGTTGTATAAAATTGCTGAAAAAGATGATCCGTACGTTTTTCTATTGTATTACACTACATAACTTTAATTATCAGTTATCATTTAACAATCATTATATAAAAACCACACACACTGATCAATCGGTTCAGTTCACAATTGAACAGCCTGTTGAAAGTTACGTTAAACGTACGGGTATCTAATTTCTAAGAAACAATTTATAGCAAATTGCATTTTTTTTTAATAATAATGGAAACAAAAATTGACGGTGACAGTGAGGTTCAAAAGTGGTTAAAAGTTGCTCTAGCGGAAGAAAATCTTGAAAGTTTTTCAGTCAAGATAACTGGAAGTTCTGAAAAAGGTGACGGATACGTAGGAGACGTAATTTTCGTTGTTGTAACAGGAATTGACAAACAAGGCAAGAACAAAGAATACGATCTTGTTTTAAAATGCAGTAAACCTAGTGCTGCTTTAATGGAAAGCGTACCTGTTTTTAGACAAGCATTTGTAAGAGAAGCTTACCTCTATCAGCATGTTTTTCCACTTTTCAAACAATTTCAAATTAGCAAAGGCATCGAAAAACCCTTTGATAGCGTGCCGAAATGTTATGGTGTTTATAGCGATGATTTCAGATATGTTATAGTGTTGGAAAATTTGAAGAAATTAGGGTATGACTTGTGGCCAAAAGCAAAACCGCTAACAAGGGAAGTTATAGATATTGTAATAAAAGATTACGCAAAATTTCATGCGACTTCAGTTGCTTTGGAAGAGCAGCATCCAGAAATATTTCAAAAATTGCTAGATGGTTCTGCTGAAGATTTAGTAAAACAAATTGTTGAGACAGCTGGCTTTGTAACTATGTTTCAAGACGCCGTAGAAGAGGTTTATGAGCTTCTAACTAATGACGTTGAAAAGGACATTTTAGAGCAATGGTTAGAGCTTAAAGATAAAGTTCGTTTCATCTTCGGTGAATTGACATCAGCTATTGATGACTTAAAAGTAATAAACCATGGAGACGCTTGGGTGAACAATTTTTTGTATAAGTTCGAAGTACGTGTAAGTATCAAATTTAATTAAGTTTAATTTTATTAATTTTTTAGAATGAAGAGAAAACAACCGTTTCCAAAGTGGCTATACTCGATTGGCAAGTTTCCAAATTCACCTCACCTTTAACTGACCTCTCATATTTTTTGTTCGCTGGCATATCGAAGGAAGATATTGCTGACATCGACACTATTTTAAGAGACTATTACAGATATTTTTGCGAGTATTTAAGAAGACTAAATAGCAAATTTGCAGATACATATACCATACAGAATTTTTTTGACTGGTGGAAAAGGTATGGTAAATATGGTTTGGTAATGTGTATTGTGCCGATCAAATCTTTATATTCGGAGAAGAAAGATCTTCCGGATATGGCTGAAGCTGCCGACCGAGGAGTAGATGTTGGCGAATCGTTTAAATTTGAAACCAGTGATAAAAATGGCTTCAAAGATAGGTTGAGGCCAATTGTTGAATATGCTGTCAAAAACAGTCTAATTTAATAAAGCTGTAAACACTTAAATGATATTATTATTTGGATATTTTAATTGATGATAGTTGCTTTAGTTTTATTTTGGTTGCAGAGCATCACAAACCTTCATCAATTTAAGTTTATCAATAATAAAATCCAGGCGGAGAGACGGATAGACGGACGGACAGATAGATAGACAGACAGACAGACCAACGGACTGACATACGGACAGACGAACGGGAACGGGAGACCTAATTTTTCGTACTGTAGGGGACACGAAAGATCTAGAAAACGTGAGAGTAGAGAGTCGGTCGACGGACTCGATTACTATACTTCCTTCGGTTACGTTCGGGAAGTAAAAAGTTAATAAGGAAATAATCACAGCTGAAGTACTGCTCTGGTGTGTTCTAAAAATACGCTGTTGTAGATTATTTATTATCATGTGTCGGTAAACTACCGAACAAAATACAATATTAATTATTTAGATGTTATCATAAACAAAATTAGCTTTATAGTGCAAATTAAAGACTTTTCGGGAATAAGAAAGACGTTTATAAATATTTATGGTATCAAATGGAAGTTTAGAAAATTCACTAATTGTTCCTCTGTCTGCATTTTGATTTTTTGGAAGATTTTCTTTTTCTGGATATAAAGTTTCGATTTTAAAAATGCACGTTTACATTATTAAATTATTATTACCATATATATTGCACCATATTTTCTGTCTTCCTCGATATAAAAAAAAAAAATAATAAGTTAATTAACAAATTATATTTCCAGCATTTTGTTTCATTTTTTTTTCATCTCGTGGTGTATGTTCATCGATTATCTCACTAAATAAAAGGTAAAACATTCATTAAAGCTTAACATAAATATTAAAAAGTCGCTCGAAAACATCAAAGGCAATGCTCTTGTAAATTAAAAAAAATATGAGTGACTTTAAAAAATTAATATTTTGAGTAAAAAATTTGGGAAACTCGTTTTTTTTCGTCTATAACATATTACCGTAACGAGAAAAATTAAATACAAAGAAAATTAATTTTCGACGATTTGGGAACTTTTTAAAAATTTGGACCGACCTCTTAAAAATTTTTTTTGAGTTGTCCTTTGAAGGAGGGTCTTAAAACATGATAACATATTTTCACACGAGACTCAAAAAAATAGTCGTTTTCTTTGCGCCACCCTAATATACATATATACATACCTAAACATTTTTAGATTCAGACGTTGCCAGTTTTTCGAGTAATAGAATTTGAAATAGTACATTAGACCCAAAAAATTATTATAATACATGTGTAAGATATTTATCTCTGGAAGTATCATCACAAGTGTAATTTGTGTAACCCCAAGTTAAATAATTTCAGTATATTACATCTGGCATCGTTGTTTCTTATCTTTTTAATGCAACTGTGTCGTAATTGGTTATGTAATTTAAAAAATAAAAATATGATGAGTAGAGATTTTTTATTAACTTGAACAATGTAACCAAACAATAAGATAACAGTAATTAATCAGCTTCCAAATATATGCATGCATTCTGTGCATGATTTTTGACATCTTTAATGTATGCAGAACATACATTATTTTTTTAAGCAAGAATATAAAAATAGTATATTATTAGCCAAGGTTGCAGAGCCCAGCATTCTAGACCGAGCGCAAATTAGAACCCGAGACGCGCAGCGTCGAGGGCTCTGAAGCGCGAGGTCTAGAAGTGGCTTTGCAACCGTGGTTAATATACTATTTTTTTCACTAGCAAAAACCATAAGACAATAAACTGAAAAAATAAACGTTCAATTTTTTGACGCAACATGATTTTGTTTTGATTTCTAATCAAACTTAATCTAAATCTTCAACACAAAGAAAACCGTTTATACTTGTCGCTGAGTTAATCATTTTATCTTCTACCGTCTACCAACTACCATGCGTATACTCAAGTAATGTTTGTAGCACACATTTCTTCATTTTTTAAGAAATAATCACATCAAACATTGCGTACATAACCTCAATTTTTCTTTTTGAACCCGTGGTAGCAAAAGTTGAATTTGCTCCCTCTAAATGAGTCGACATTTGCATGCGTCCAGGCTGCTAGTGAAAAAAAGAGTTACGTGATGTAACATTCGAAATTCAGGAAACCGTAGAATACAAATTATCGAAAGGATCTGATCCATAGCGATGAATGGGAAATCGTAATCAAAGTGGTATTTTTTGTAATCTTATTTAAGATAAAATATGTGCTTTACATTTTTTTAATGTGGAAAATTTTAAAAATTGATTAAAAAATAAAATCAACCGATACTTATGCAGCTGTACCCAAAGAGCTATCAATAGAGGATAAGTACCCTTAGAAATTAATTAAGAGTTCTCTCACAACAAAAAACACAAGAAAAATTTCTCAGGAACATTAGGATCTAGATGAATGTTTGAATTCAGAACCCTAAGTAATCTGTTGACTGTGTTTAATTTTTTTTATAGTTTATCGTGCAGTTGTTATTGTAATAAAGGTCGTTAACATGATTTTATTAAATAAGATCGTGTTCAGCAACATATTTGACAACGTGTTTCATCCTTTGTTTGTAAAGTGTTTTGTTTCTAAAGTCAACTTTAAATGCGGTTGAAAAGTCGCCTTTATTAGCAGCTTCCACAATGTCAATTGCTTCGTCTTTTTCAAGAATACAAACTTTCAAGGCCGTTGAAGACATCATAATGCCAAATTTGCTATATTTTGCCCATTCCTCCAAAAACTGTTGTCGAGAATATACAGCTGGATCAGTTTGCAACTGTAGTAGATAGTTTGAAAGAGAATTATGGTATTTCTCCAAAATATCTTGCAAGTTTTGTATATCTTCTTCGGAAATACAAGTAAAAAGAAAATGTGATAAATCCGAAACAGCAGGGCCAAGCCTCAGCATTTGCCAGTCTATTATTGCAACTTTACTAGGTTGATTTAAGTCGTGGTCCTGAAAAAGTCATTAGTGTGAGAATGAAATAACAAACTGAATTTACCTTCGTCTGAAAGAGGAAATTATTATTCCAGCAGTCACCATGATTGACCACTCTAAAACCTTTGTAGCTGAGCCACATTTTAAGATAATTCGTTTCCATAAACTTTCCAAAATTTTTCCATTTTAATAACAATTCCTGATCTAAATCTTCGCGAAGCAATTCATACACTTCTTGAATATTACTACAGAATTGTAATATCATATTATTTCCCATACTCTGGAATTTTTTGATAAGTGCATTTAATGGTTCTGTTAACATATCAAATTCTTCAGACTGTTGGTCTTTCATAGCAAGAGACACTGCGTGGAACTTTGCATATTCTTGAACGATTAAATCAATATGATTTCTAAGCATAGGCTTTTTCCTGTCCCATGAACTGTAGCCTTTTGCTGTCAAATCATCAACAACAATGACTTGTCTGTCGTCACTAACGTAACTGCCATAATACTTTGCGATACCATTGAGAGGATTATTGATTCCATGATCAAGTTGAAACTTTGTAAATGTTGGGTACAGAGTATCGTAAAAATATATTTCGTTGATAAAAAAATTTTTCATAGGTGACATTTCCCTCAGCACCTGATTGTCTTTGCTACACTTTAAAACCAAACTGTAGGATTTCATTGTGTTGTTGTTATCTGTAGCTTCCGCACACACAAATAGAATATCTCCAACGCAACCTTCACCTTTTTCTAAAAATTTGAAACTATTAACCGTTATATTCTTCAAGTTTTCTTTCAATAAGCAAATTTCGAGCCATTGTTTTATTTCGGTTTTACTGTAATTTGCTTCCATCTTGTCACCTCGACGACTTCTAATTAAACATAAAAGTAGAAACTTGTATTTGCACTGAAGATTTCACGTCTTAAAATATAATATACAAACAACCGCATTGCAAATATTCCCTCTATTTAAACAGTCATGTGTTTTATTACGCAGCACAACAATAACTAGCGAATAGTGTGATTTTCATAAAAGCTGTGTAATGTTTTATTTTAAATTACAGCGCTAACTCTCAGTTTTATTAATTTAATTATAGAGAATTCACGTGTGTTTGTAATAAATCAAGAAACATAAACTGCAGCATGACCATTAAGAAACAATTCCTCAAAATAATAATTAAAATTTAAAAATAGTCCCCAAATATATATTTATGGGTCTATAGCTTTTCCCCAGATTGTGTAGTTTTTATTTAAAAGTAACAGCAACTGCCTATGAGGAAATTGTACTTGCATTTTTATCTTTGATTTCTTTTTAATGCTCATATCATGTGTTCTTTGCTTTGCATTTGATGTTCCAAAATCATTATTCGTTTACTGTATTCCCTTCATATCACCTGATACAAACCTCTCGTTAAGTTAGATCTTGACTTTAGAATTGTTATCGTTTCAAGGACATCTTTATACATTTACATTATATTGATATTAATAACCATGACATTCCGTTGTCTGGATAAATATACACTCAAGATGCCATTGCCTGGACATTAAACTAATAGATATTAAGTCTAAGTAACATTAAATATTTGAATTGAAAGCTAACAGATAAATAAATAACGTTTTTTAAAGTATGTGTAATAATATGTACTTTTATATGTGTTCGACCAAATGGTTTATTTCACTACCTGTACCCAAGAATATTTTCCGCCTCTACAATATCTATAGTGTTCTTCCAGTTTAAAAAAATATTGATAATAATATAACTTGTTGGATGACAAATTAGAATTCGAAGGTGTTTGGACAGTTTCGTCAAATTTAAAATTTATTAGAATTCCATTCTAATTTTATTCGACTTTGGTGAATTAGTTTGATTGGGGCATTCAGATTAAAAAAAAAAAGGCATAATCCAAAATAGACATAAAAATTGCTAACAGTGCTATAGCTTTGCACAGAAATTGTATAACTATAATTATTCTTTTATAGAATTTATTTTACATTACAAAGTACTCATTGTAAGTAATAAATAAATGTATTTTGCTCGCATTTTAAAGACCCACCAGGATCACAATTTATATCAAAGCTACACGTGGTAACACTGTAAAATTCAAATTCTGATAAGTGTTTTAGTCAAGATAACAGCTGACATTTTTTTAAGATTATACTACACTGTAGAGTCAGACAAACTTTCGAGTATTTTTAAAAATAGGTAGTCTTCGCTATAATCTGCTACTGGTTAATTAATCTTTTCTACAAAGCGTTATTTTAAGAATTTTGAATTATTTTATATGCTAGGATTTAAACTAGATATGATAAGCCGATATCCACAAAGATAAATACCTACATAAATGAAAATTAATTACTAATTTTCAAATTTTCATCTTATTGATACCTTTCAAACAAAAAAATAGTATCTTAAAAATATGAATGCACAAATTGATTGACAGTTAATAAACCTAAACCAGAATACCTAACATCATTTATTAAGTTGTTGAAAAATATTAGCTGCCAGAAGTTTCAGATTTCAAATTGCAAAATGCAGTGGCGTCTTTTTTGGGTTTTTTGTTTTATTTTTTTGTTGAAGCACTTCTCTTTGTCGCGCCACTGGAATAATTGTGATATAACCTTACACCAAACAGGGAGTACCAACTCTTTCAATCAATTTTGATGACTCGTTATTTAGAAAGTGAGTAATAAAATCCAACAAAAATTTTATTAATGTAATTAATAAAAGCCCGACAAAAGTTGGAACACTTTCAAGCGAGGTTTAAGTTATACATTTTTTTTTACACTGCTATAACATGCGAGTCCTAATAACTCAGCACTTTAGTGAACAGAATTGTATCGTCTGATTAGTCCATCATCATATAAAAATCTCGTAAATTACGAAGCATCTTTATGGCTAGGAGTCTTTGTTTTATTGTGCGATTTTTACTTCCCGAGCGTAAGCAAAGGAAGTATTGTAATCGAGTCCGTCGGCCGACTCTCTACTTTTACGTTTTCTCGATCTTTCATGACCCCTAGAAGACGAAGAAATAGGTCTCCCATTTCCGTCTGTCTGTCCGTCTGTCCGTCTGTCCGTCTGTCCGTCTGTCCGTCTGTCCGTCTGTCCGTCCGTCTGTCCGTCTGTCCGTCTGTTGTCACGGATTTTTATTAGACAGATAATCTCCGAAAGTACTCGACCGATTGTTGTGAAATTTTGTACTTATATTAAGAATATCATGTAGATGGTAAAACGCTAACCAAAATTTGTCGAATCATCCCCACCACTAAAGCGATGACGTCACTTCAAAATTGTACATAGTAAATGGGTTTTCAATTGTATAAAATAACATAGTCCTACACATGTAGTTTACAACTCTGAATCGACTTTTCACCCGAAACGTCCAGATTTTTGGAAAAAAAATCAAAATTATAAAACAACATTTTGAAATTTAATTTTTAATCTGCTAACCAGAATGCTTTGAAATGTTGCAGATGTTTTAAGGCTATAAAGAGCATCATAAATCTTTAGTCAAAAAATATTTGCTTATCCCCTCCAAAAACTTGATGACGTCAGCTCAAAAGTTTGTGGAATAAATCATATCTAAAATGTACAAAATATGATGAGTCTGTACTTGTGAACTATCACTCCATTCATATTTTTTGGATTTGCATATATAGGGTGACTCAAAAAAATTAATGAATGCGTAAATATATTTTATTGATTTAATCAGGAACTACAAAACCGAATGCTCTGAAATCTTGCAGATGTTTTAAGGTCATAAAGAGCATAATAAATGTTTAGTCAAAATATATTTGCTTATCCCCTCCAAAAACTTGATGACGTCAGCTCGAAAGTTTGCCGAATAAATCATATCTAAAATGTACAAAATATGATGAGCCTGTACTTGTCATTTATCACTCCATTCATATTTTTTGGATTTGCATATACAGAGTGACTCAAAAAAATTAATGAATGCGTAAATTTATTTTATTGATTTAATCAGGAACTACAAAACCGAATGCTTTGAAATCTTGCAGATGTTTTAAGGTTATAAAGAGCATAATAAATTTTTAGTCAAAATATATTTGGTTATCTTCTACAAAAAACTGATGACGTCAGCTCAAAAGTTTTCCGAATAAATCGTATCTAAAATGTACAAAATATGATGAGTCTGTACTTGTGATTTATCATTCCATTCATATTTTTGGATTTGCATATGCAGGGTGACTCAAAAAAATTAATGAAGGCGTGAATTTATTTTATCGATTTAATCAGGAATTACAAAACCGAATGCTTTGAAATCTTGGGAATATTTTAAAGTTATTATAAGCATGGTAAACTTTTGTTCAAAATGTATTTCTTCATCCCTCCTAAAAAAATTGATGACGTCACCCTTAAATTTTGCTGAATAAATCCTATCTAAAATGCAAAAAATACGATGAGTTTGTACTTGTGATTTATCATTCCATTCATATTTTTTAGATTTTCTTAAGAGGTGGTTCAAAAAAATTAATGAAGTCAATTTATTTTATTGATTAAATTAAAGGCAACACTTATTATTAGTATTACACCCCAACCAACCCAATTTGGTAGACACAAAATTTGTTAAAGGAAAAACTCGGTTGAAACATAAGGGTAGCACGCTTATTTACATCGACTTTAACATTACAGACCTGCATTTGTTTTATGCGTTCACTTGATTCCGCGAATGTGAAATAGACATGTTTATAATCAACCAATTGTGAATTTCACCGTCAAGAATTAAAATAAAACCCAATGTTTTATATAATAAGCGGAAGTCGAAGCAATAAAACCGACGGTCGTTTTGTTTACAGTTTCTGTGTTTGGCTCTCACGTATGCTGTTACGCCTGTCATCTTAAATTAACAATGTTTATACATACACGATTTTCAGTTGCCTCTGATACGTAGGTATACGTGAGTAAATTGTTTCGTTATTTTATTGATTATTACAAATCAATATTCAAACGACCCAATTCATTTTCCCGAAAATTTGAGAATATAATAATTTTATTCTTAGTATTACACTACATCTATCCCAACTGATATACGTGTCCTTGCAAAAATGTTGATGACGTCATCGCATTTTTTTTTTAAATTCCCACTACAAAAATGTAATGAGAAAAAAAACACAATAGGCATGCAGTCGTCAAGTTTCCGACAGCGAGGGAAGTACTGTCTAAACTCTTTAGACCAATTTTTATTAATTGTATTAGTGAGAAAGTAAATGGGGTGGACGGCTATTTTCGTGTTTCCTCGGCGTTTCATGACCCCCGAAGAAATAGGCCTCTCGTTTCCGTCCGTTTGTCTATTGTCTGCGTTCATTGATTGCTGTCGAATTTTATATGTATGTTAGGAATATTGTGTAGATGGTAAAACAAAAATTTGGCTAATAAACCCCACCAACAATTTGGTAACGTTCCCTCATTTTCTTTTTTGTAAATGTTATTTAACTTTTATAAAAAAACATACTTCTGTACTTGTGATTTATAACTCCGCCTTGATTTTTTACCCTAAAAAATCCAAATTGCATCAGCATGTTTAATACCAGTGTAAGAACACTGACTGGTGGTAAACTCGGTGGTCGTGCCGTGAAAATGTTGAATTATTAACGCGAAAGTACTTGGATCGATTGACTTATAGGTTACACTTTGTTTTATTGATCTAATCAAGATTCCCCCTAGTTTTCTCGAAACCTACCTGTACTGAATAATAATAATATAAGAATTCTCATAGTTATCATAATTACACTTAAGTATTTTTATTTTTTTTTTTTAATAATAATGAAAAAACTTTCAGAGTTTAAATAATATATTTGTAGTCACTGCTACACGTGTGTCTTCAGGCAGAAGAGAAACTGGGGTTTTTACAGAGCTATTCCTGAATTTAATTTTAATAATAATGAAAAAACTTTCAGAGTTTAAATAATATAATGTAAAAACCCCAGTTTCTCTTCTGCCTGAAGACGGTACTGTGTACCGAAACACGTGTAGCAGTGACTACAAATATATTATTTAAACTCTGAAAGTTTTTTCATTATTATTAAAATTAATATGGAGTTTAAACACGTATCAGCCTCATCAATACATACACTTAGTACTTATCCATACAATAATATACAGAACGTCTTGCTCCATTTTGTAGCTTAATTAATAATTTTAGAATCATTCAAATCAGGCAGCTTGCTACGTGCTTAATCGTCTCATTCTTTCGATGTATAAACATAAACAATCGATGTTAAACATGTACTGAAAACAGTTTTTTCTGTTGGTTATCTCGTTTAAATATATTTGACATTGTCGGTACCTGTGTCTTTCTTTAACAGTCTACATATATCTTCATTGTCATTTGTAGGGATTGTCCTAAAAAATAAATTAAATTAGCAAAATTACTACAATGTGTCTAACGAAACTGACTATTTGTACCCGACCAAAAATTGATTCCGCCATTCGAAAATTTTATTAGGAAAAGCTACTTGACAAAAATTCTCGGATTCAAACTTTAAAACTTATCTAAGAAATTCAAATTGTATGATTGATTATTATGCTTCAAGGACGACAAAAGTTCTGTTATCTTTCGTATTATCTTCCAAATGTGCTGTCTAAACGTAAATTACTGTAACAATGTAATTCATTACATACAATTCAAATGAACGTAGCTGCCTCAAACGTTTTCTTTGAAAGAGGTCCGCCAGGACGTGGCATTTACTACTTATAGTTTCTACTTCGTCCCGACTGATGTTCACTTCTCCTCCTTGGTAATCTGAGTTAGATATCAAGTTAAGTAGACTCTATTAATATATACTTGACATTCACACGAACACATCTTGTTATCGTCCCACTCAAATTAAATAAAATTGATTGTGCAATAACAAATAAATTTATATTGTGAGTGTCGAGTAGAACAATAAAAGTGAAAGCACGTAATTTTTGTGTATAGTAGTTATCTAACTTTATTTGTTGATGCGACGTGTTTTTAAATAATCTGTGAAAAAAAAAATAATTGAATACTTTTACTGTTCAGTGTACTAGTAAATTTGCAATCTGCTTCACACAGTTAAGTTAAATTTTACCAACTAAAGGTTTAGCAATTATCAACTCCATAATGACGTTAGCAGCAAGGACTAGAAGCGAAATAAAGACATGGTTAGAAACACTCTTGAAAAACGAGAATATAGATAACTTGGATTTCACAATTTCCGGAAATTCTGAACAAGGCGATGGTTATGTCGGGGACATACTTTTCGTCGAAGTGTGTGGAACAACGAAAGATGAAACAAAAAATTATAACCTCGTTCTTAAATGTTCAAAACGTAGCCAAGCTCTGAGAGAAAAATCGCCAGTGAAGGAAGCTTTTTTGAGTGAAATATATTTCTACGATATTGTGTTTCCGAGTTTCAGGAAATTCCAGCACGACAGAAATATTACAGAACCGTTTGAGAAAGTACCAAAGTGTTACGGTACTTTAACCACTGGTGATACAGAAGTGCTTGCTTTAGAAAACTTGAAAAACAGAGGTTACTTTCTGTGGGATAAAACAAAACCATTAACCAGACCATATATTGATTTGATAGTTAAAGAATATGGAAAATTTCATGCAGTATCTATTGCAATGCAAGATCAAGAACCCGAAATATTTCAAAAGCTAGTCGGCGGTTTAGACCATGTACTTAAAAGGTTTTTTCAAGCCTCAACTGAGATGTATAACAACATGGGAGGCGCTATTGTAGAAATTTGTGACTTGTTGAAGGGTGAACTGGATGATCGAATTCTACACAAATGGTACGAATTAAACCAACAAGTGGAACCCTTTTATACCAAAGCTTGTGAACCTTTGGAAGGGATGAATGTGATAACTCACGGCGACTGTTGGTGTAATAATTTCATGCACTATAATAAGGTAAGGTACTAACTTGTAGGTACATAATAAATTATAATAAATTCGGCAATTTATTTATTTCTTGTAATAGGATGGTAAGCCCTTAACGGCCGCGATGCTAGACTGGCAGATGATGACATATTCTCCACCTATTTTCGATTTGTCTTACTTCTTGTTTGCTTGTCTATCAGAAGACGATATCAACGATATGGACACTATATTGGAGTACTACTTCGAATTTCTGACAGATCATTTAGAAAAACTGGGAAGTTCAAAGTCACTTTATGCTAGAGAACATTTTTTAGAGGACTGGAGAAAGTATAACAAGTTTGGACTTTTAATGGCACCAGTGATTCATAAATTTTGTTTGTCTGAAAAAAACGATGCTCCAGATATGACTGAGGCAGCTGAAAAAGGAGAAGATATTTTAAAAGTTTTTATGAAACCCATCAAGAATATCAAGAAATATAAAGAAAGAATGAAGTACATTGTAAAATATTCAGTAGAAAATAATATAATTTAAAAATGTAATTCTGAAAATCAATGTATGGCACGGAAATATAATACAACGGACATATTTTTCAAACCGTTATGTTATTTTTACTTCATGAGCGTAGCTAAGGAAGTATTGTAATCGAGTATATCGGCTACTTTTATGTTTTCTCGACGTTTCATGCCCCTAAAATACGAAAAATGTAGATCACTCCTTTCCGTCTGTCTGCTGTTTATCAGCGTCTGTGTCGATTTTTATTCGACAGATATTCTTCGAAACTACAGGACCCATTGCTGTCAAATTTTGTATGTATATTAGGAATATCGTTTAGATGGGAAAACGCTAATCAAAATTTGCCTATTCTTCCCTACCACGAATGGGATGATGTCATTAAAATTTATAATAACAAATGTTATTTAAATTTTTTAAGATAACGTACTCCTCTACTTGTAGTTTATGAATCCATGTTCAATTTTTACCATAGTCATCCAGATTTTTGGTAAACAAATCAAAATTGTATATCAATATTTTACAATTTAACTTTGAAATTGCAAAATCGAATGCTCTGAAATCTTGCAAAAGGAGTGAAACGAATACAGTAAATTTGGTATTTGTTTTACTAATTTAATACATAAATTTGCGTTAACTGACGGTGCAGAGATTCCTGATTTTGTTCAAGCGGCGGAAGATGGGTACGACATTACGAAGTCTATGGCAGTTAAAATTAAGGATGCGTTGTAAAATGTGCTGTCGAACACGATTTTAGTGGTTCTCCACACTTAAAAAAATATGTGTACAGTTTTTGATATATTCATTTTAATTAATTAATTTTAAATTTAATGATATTCCTATACTAATAAAAAAAAAATTAATCTAATTAATTCTAGTTAAGAATTTAACAAAAATTTAGAGGTGTGAGTTACTCGTTTCTAACTTTTATTGACGAAAGTGTGGAAAACTCTTTATTACGGCAAAATTTTAAAGCAGTCGTTAAGATAAACAATTACAATGCCGCTATAAATATATATGTATATATATATAATCAGTCTGTTTTCTGAACCAAACTAAAGCATAATTTCTTTACTGTGACTATGGAAACGGCAAGTGAGTTGTTGGCAATTGCTTTAGCTGACGAGAATATTGAAAAATTTTCAGTTACAATAATTAATTGAAAACTGCGAACAAGAAAATAGATGTAGATTTAATTTTCGTAACTGTTAAAGGAACTGCAAAAAATTGGTCTAAAGAGTTTAGACAGTACTTCCCGCGCTGTCGGAAACGTAACGACTGCATGCCTATTAGGTTTTTTTGCAGTAGATTTCAAAGCATTCGGTTTTATAGTTCCTGAGTAAATCAATAAAATAAATTTACGCATTCATTATTTTTTTGAGTCACCCAGTATATGCAAATTCAAATAATATGAGTGGAATGATAAATTACAAGTACAGACTCATCATATTTTGTACATTCTAGATAGGATTTATTCGGCAAACTTTTGAGCTGACGTCATCAGTTTTTTTGAGAAGATAACCAAATATATTTTGACTAAAAATTAATTATGCTCTTTATAATCTTAAAGCATCTGCAGGATTTCAAAACATTCGGTTCTGTAGTTACTGATTAAATCAATAAAATACATTTACGCATTCATTATTTTTTTTGAGTCACCCTGTATATGCAAATCCAAAAAATATGAATGGAGTGATAAATCACAAGTACAGACTCATCATATTTTGTACAGTTAAGATAAGATTTATTCGGCAAACTTTCCAGCTGACGTCATCAATTTTTTGGAGGGTATAAGCAAATATATTTTGACTAAACATTTATTAGCAAAATTTTGTGGTGACGTCATAAATTTACCATGCTTATGATAATTTTAAAACATCTTCAAGATTTCAAGGCATTCGGTTTTGTAGTTCCTGAGTAAATCAGTAAAATAAATTTACGCATTCATTAATTTTTTTGAGTCACCCTGTATATGCAAATCCAAAAAATATGGATGGAATGATATATCACATGTACAGACTCATCATATTTTGTACATTTTAGATAGGATTTATTCGGCAAACTTTTGAGCTGACGTCATCAAGTTTTTGGAGGGGATAACCAAATATATTTTGACTAAATATTTTAGATGCCCTTTATAGCCTTAAAACATCTGCAACATTTCAAAACATTCGGGTTAGCAGATTCAAAATTAAATTGCAAAATGTTGTTTTATAATTTTGATTTTTTTCTCAAAAATTTGGACTTTTCCGGTAAGAACTCAATTCGGAGTCGTAAACTACATGTGTAGGATTATGTTATTTGATACAATTTAAAACCCATTTACTATGTACAATTTTGAGGTGACGTCATCGCATTAGTGGTGGGGATGATTAGACAAATTTTGGTTAGCGTTTTACCATCTACATGATATTCCAAATATAAGTACAAAATTTCACAACAATCGGTCCAGTACTTTCGGAGATTATCTGTCTAATAAAAATCCGGGACGGCATACAGACGGACAGACGGACAGACAGACGGAAATGGGAGACCTATTTCTTCGTCTTCTAGGGGTCATGAAAGATCGAGAAAACGTAAAAGTAGAGAGTCGGCCGACGGACTCGATTACAATACTTCCTTTGCTTACGCTCGGGAAGTAAAAATCAAAAAACCTTTCCACAATTTCGCTAGGTACTATGGTTTTTACAGTGATGGATTCCAGCATGTAATTGTGTTAGATAATCTAAAAGATTTGGGGTATGACTTGTGACCTCAAGACAAACTGTTATCGAGAGAAGTTGTTGATATGGGGGTAAAGATCTAAGCAAAATTTCATGCTCTTTCAGTGGCGCTAAAAGATCAGGAACCTGAGAAATTTCAAAAATTGTCTCAAGACTTTGATGAAGATATAATTAAAGCAAACTGTAAATCGTATGATTATATGTATATAATTCATTAATTATACGCTTCAGAACGTAATGGACGAAGTTTATCAACTCCTTAAAAACGATATAAAGCAAAATGCTTTAGAAAATTGGTTGAAACTGAAAAAAGAAGCTCCTTCCATCTTGTTTGAAATGTAACCAGTTCGTGGTTTCAAGCAATAAGTCATGGCGACTACTTAAAAACGATATAAAGCAAAATGCTTTAGAAAATTGGTTGAAACTGAAAAAAGAAGCTCCTTCCATCTTGTTTGAAATGTAACCAGTTCGTGGTTTCAAGCAATAAGTCATGGCGACTACTGGATGAACAATTTTTTGTACAAACTTAAAGTAAGCAAACAAACCTAATTTTTTGTTAGTAATTAATTATGTTGTAGAATGAAAAAAGCACGGACGTATCAGAGATTGCTATAATTGACTGGCAAATTTCTAAACTTACGACACGTACAAATGTTATATCTTCAGTTTTCTTGTATGTCTGGAGAAGATATTGCAGATATGGATACTATTCTCAGGGATTATCATTATCATTTTTGTGCGCATTTAGTAATGTTGCAAATAAATATCCTGCAGAAAAATTTTTTATGAGTGGAAAAAGTACAGCAAATATGGGTACTACTAGTTAAAGTCTCACTACGACCAAACCAAACCAAAGAAATTATTTTGTCTCAGTTGTAAGGTAAATAAATTTTATTTACAAGTTTCTATATAATAATTTCACCGTCATAATACCTACCTACTCATTATAATCTTGACCACAAATCCTGAGACAAAACAACAAAATCAAATGAAAAATGTTCGAATATATGATTTCTGAATTTATGATTTTAACAGTGTACATAAAATGACATTAACAGCATAGATTAATACGTGACCTATAGGGTGCAGCATCCAAGTTTGGACATAGGGAATTAATATGGAGATCCCTTTAAAGTTATTATTAAGCAATGCATTTGTGGTGGTAAACGATGGTTATCGGCCAGTATTTTTACTTCCCGAACCTAAGCAAAGGAAGTATTGTAATCGAGTCCCTCGGCCGACTCTCTACTTTTACGTTTTCTCGATCTCTCATGACCCCTAGAAGACGAAGAAATAGGTCTCCCATTTCCGTCCGTCTGTCCGTCTGTCCGTCTGTCCGTCTGTCTACCGTCCCGGATTTTTATTAGACAGATAACCTCCGAAAGTACTTGTATAAAATAACATAGTCCTACACATGTAGTTTACGATTCCATTGGACCTATCTACTGAATAGTCGTAAAAGATACACCCCTATACAGCATGCGCAGTCACCACGTACAAAGTTACCGCGTAATTTAAAATCTGGCAATGAGGAAAAATATAACATGACAGATGACGTAGGTGCGCGATTAGTTGCACGCGCATGCGTTGCACGATAGTTGTTCGTTTACTTGTTTACGTTCATAGTTTCAAAAAGTACAAGTTTTCTTTTGTTGTTTGTGTGTTAAGGTTTTCGTCAAAATATAATTTTCAACTATGAGTTGCTGTGTTCCTGGGTGTCCTACCAAAAAAAGGGCAAATAAACCCCAATATAAAAACCATTCACTTCATTCGTTTCCCAGAAAAGAGGAGATCAAAAGGGAGTGGTTGGAACTTGTTCGATTACCACTGATAACAAATACAACATATTTACGAGTAGGTATCTCACTTATTCCATGTTGCAAATATAAATACCTAAATGTCACTCTCCAACATTTTCTCATATAATGAATTTTTTTACAGGTATGTTCAGAACATTTTTTAGAACAGGATTTCTTCATGGCTGGCAGCCGAAGAGATTTGCGTAAAGGGGTTCTTCCATCAGTTTTTGAATGGAACGAAAGTAAGAAAGGCGCAATAAGTAATACTCAGGCATTTGATACCGTGGTAGGGTTAATATTGATATTTGCTCATTCAATCAAATTATATGATTTCATTGCAGTTAATACCTGAAATTGAAGACGCTAGTAGTAGCAGGTTAATTAAAGAAAAGTGTAACTGTGTTCTACTCCAAAAAGAGAATGAGAGACTTAAATTGGAGATTTTAAACTTAAGAGAAGAAATTGATTCACTTAAAAATGTGAAAGAAGAAAATCTGCAACTTTCAAGTAAGTATTGTGTTGCAAATGAAAGAAAAACTTGTCACCTTAAACACAGAAGCAAATGCACATAGTGAAGTTCAGTTTTCTATTGAAAGGTTTGAAAATGTGCCTTCAAAACTTTTATATTATACTGGTTTGCAGCATTCGGAAATATTTAATTACTTATTTAATTTCTTGTTGCCATCAGGAAAATTAAATGATTTAAAAATATTCACATCAAACTTAACATACAAAACACGATTAACAAAATTGTCAGCGAAAAACCAGTTATTCTTAACTTTAATCAAGTTACGAAGGGGACTGCATTATGAAACTCTAGGTGACATTTTTGGTGTAAGCAAATCGAGTATCAACAAAATCTTTATTTCTTGGATCAATCTAATGTACTTGAAACTGGGAAGTCTTAATTTATGGCCACATAGAAATGTAATTCTAGAAAATACCCCAGCAGAAATTAAAGAAAAATATCCTAAAATGATAGGCAGCATTGACTGCACTGAATTCTGTATTCAACAGCCTTCATCTTTGATTCGACAGAGTCAGTGTTATTCAAATTATAAAAGCACTACCACTTTAAAATCATTAATCATGACAGACCCAAATGGTTATATTATATTTGTTTCGCCATTGTTTGCAGGATCAATTTCTGACAAGCAAATAGTAATTGACAGTGGCTTTTTGAATGCACTAAAGAAAAAAGTAACAGGAAAAGAGATAGAAAATGGCGATATCATTTTAGCAGATAAAGGTTTTAATGTCAGTAGTTTGCTCGAAGAAATAAACATTGAGTTAAATATTCCTACATACCGGGTTACTGGGATGCAGTTTTCAGCACAAGATGTGGAATAAATTCGTAAAATCGCTCACGAACGTGTGCATGTTGAACGGGCCATCGGCCGATTAAAGAGTTTCAGAATTTTAAAAAATAAAATTCCCATTTCATTGGTAGGGTGTATTGAACAAATATACGTTGTATGTTGCATACTTACCAATCTTAGACTCCCCCTTCGGAAGTAGACATATGTATTTTATGTAACTAAATTATTCTTAAATTTTAAATATAACTTTATTTTCATCTAACATACATTTTAAAATGACTATTATAATAATTTGTTAATTTGTTGTACATATTCAAACAAAACTGAGAATCAAAATAAATTCTTTCAATATATAATTCTCTTGTATTTTTTAAAAAAATAACAAAATCACACCAAGTGAGTCCTGTAATTAACATTTGCCCTTGTATCTGATAGTAATAATTATGGGTCCTTTTTAGATATGTCTGGCCATTTTCTAACGCTAAGCAGAAATTTTTCATTTTTGCCGCCTCCTTAATCGTCTCCCACTTTTTGCTGTAAGGGCACTTAATTTCACAAAGTCCATATCCATGAACTTCATCAAATACAACGCCGTCAGGACTTGCACCTAGATGACTAGCAAATGGATGCACTACAAAGCCACACTTACACATTGTCCTTCGTGTTTCCTCCAAATACATTTTTTTTGCCACATCTTCATTTTCCACCCCATGCCTGATTGCCTTTACATTCGACAAATCATTATTCCCAAAAATGCTCTTTACATATTCTGCATTGAAGCTTCTTCTTTTGCAAATTTCCCCAAATTTTGAACTTGTTAAACGAAATTTTCGCTCATTATACCATGGTGCTGAAGAAGCTTGTTGTCTTGTTAATCGTTCTATTTCATAAGATTTGTCAAAAGAAATTTCTTCAGTGGCATCTATGGGTGGTTCACTCAATAAAACATTTTTTGCTTCAGCATTATCAAGTGGTAGCTTTATAGGCATCTCATCTTGTATCCTCCAAATGTCTAGATTGTTCCTTTGCCTTTCTGGGTTGTACTGGTTTCCCAATACTGAATTAGAAGGGACTGATACATCTATAACAATGTGATTAGTACCTTAGTTTTATTACTAACATGAATCTTACTATCAAATAATGTAACAGTTTCTGTGGAAGGGTTGTCTATTAAATAACTAAACCCAATCTTCAAGACGGATGACTTGACAGCCTCAGTAAGATTCAGTATTTCCCTCTTGTTTAGAAATGCATCATCATGTCTAAACAAGACTTACAGTGAATCGGTGACTTCTTCCTCCTACAGTTCAACGGATTGTAAAATGGTATGTCAATGACTTTTTCCGGCAAAATTTTTTTCCCTCTAGGTTTGTTCCATATCATGGGTTGTGAGGTGCATGTAACATTTTCCATTTGAGTGATCCCTCTACAAATCAAATCTTGGAGATGATATCCAAGTCCAACTAAATGATTGCATGACCTGCTCTTTCTGTAACATAATTTATAAATCATTACAGCAAAAACAATATTTTAGACAACCAACCCGGCCTCACATGTACAGTGCGAATCAGTTAAAATTAAATCTTCCTCAGTCTTTTCAAAAACCATATTCATTGTATGGGGTTTTTCATTTTTTTTTTTGACTTCGATAACACTGTGCACACAAATGCAAGCCAGAAACTTTCAGGTTGTGAACATAACCTTCAGCAAAGAATTTATAGCCTTTTGACATCTGCTTTGACGTCCATCCTTCCTTCTCGAAGAATGTTTTGCAGCAGTCAAAGTTAAAGGTGCTGAACGCAAGCAGGTCCGTGGTCCACATATTTAAAAAAATGCCCCTTACGTCTTCCCAAAGAGATCGTTACTGAATAACCGTCCACTAAAAATTTATTAAAATGTATTTAATAAAAACATCGACATAACCTTTATTCAAATGTCATACCTTTTACACACTACAGCAAGCTGCTGTTGTCTTGAAGATCGAGATTTTACAAAAAACACTCAAACAAACGCAAATCACACCAACAATTTGAAAAAACACAATGAATGACAAAACGGATATGACTCAGTTGCCTCTTGAGGATTTCAAGCGCCACCGATGGCAGGCTTACGCCGCACGTGGTCAGAACGGCGGTTGTTTTAAATTACACGATGTTGATTCGCTGTTTTAAAAACTGCGGTAAAGATCTTGGTTGTGTACCCAACCTAACATGCGCAAACTTCTATCTCTTACTAACATGTAGTAAGCCTCGGTCGGTTCGTGTTTACGACTATTCAGTAGATAGGTCCAATGGACTCGTAACGTCCAGATTTTTGGAGAAAAAATCAAAATTGTAACACAACATTTTGCAATTTAATTTAGAATTTGCTAACCCGAATGTTTTGAAATGTTGCAGATGTTTTAAGGCTATAAAGATCATCATAAATCTTTAGTCAAAATATATTTGGTTATCCCCTCCAAAAACTTGATGACGTCAGCTCAAAAGTTTGCCGAATAAATCCTATCTAAAATGTACAAAATATGATGAGTCTGTACTTGTGATATATCACTCCATTCTTATATTTTGGATTTGCATATACAGGGTGACCCAAAAAAATAATGAATGCGTAAATGTATTTTATTGATTTAATCAGGAACCGCAGAACAGAATGTTTTGAAATCTTGCGGATGTTTTAAAGTTATAAAGAGCATCATAAATTTTTAGTCAAAATATATTTGGTTATCTTCTCCTAAAAACTGATGACGTCAGCTCAAAAGTTTGCCGTATAAATCCTATCTAGAATGTACAAAATATGATGAGTCTGTACTTGTAATTTATCATCCATTCATATTTTTTGAAGTTGTATATACCAGGTGACTCAAAAAAAATAATGAATGCGTAAATTTATTTTATTGGTTTACTCAGGAACTGCAAAACCGAATGCTTTAAAATCTACTGCGAAAAAAAACATAATAGACTTGCAGTTTCCGACAGCGAGGGAAGTACTGTCTAAACTCTTTAGACCAATTTTTTTAAGATGGTTTGAAATATCAAAGATGCTTTTGAAATTGTATTTCTGCTTAAGTCTTACATTTTTTAGAGGTGGAGCTTCTCGTAAATAACCCTATAGATAATGTTACGAAATAAACCTCTACGCCGCCCCGGTACGACGCCTATGGGCCGTCGAGAGCTTTCTGGTTTGTATGCGAATGATGACCCATCGTCAATGACAGCGATCGAGCAGCGGATCGCTACAGAACAGCCTGGAAGCGGAAGTCGCGAACGATAATCCAGAAAGATCCCGATCGCCGCACATCTAGAAGTTTAAATAGAGGCTACCTTCGGAAACGATTATTATTCAGTTAACAAGCAGAAGCAGAGAGGACCAGCAGTGCTGGTATCATCGAAAATTTGGGGAGAAAGCCAATAAGTGCACACGTCCATGCAGCTTTCAAAAAAAACGGGCACGAGGGCCGCACGTAAGGGCAGCTGCGGTGGCCCGGCAAGCGTCCCGACGCCTGTTCATCGTCGACAAAGGTTCGAAGACACACTTTCTCGTCGACACAGGCGCCGATATCAGCATTCTGCCCGCCAAATTCAAACACAAGTGCGCCCGTGAACCCACCTCGTTGCGACTACAGTCAGCCGATGGTTCGGATATCCGCGTTTTTGGTCAAATAACCGTCACACTAAATCTTGGCCTTCGCCGCGAGTTCAAGTGGACCTTTATAGTCGCCGAGGTAACGAACGCAATAATCGGCGCAGATTTTCTCGAACATTATGGCTTGTGCGTGGACATAAAAAACAAAAAAATAAGTGACTCGCGCACATCGCTCTCGGTCGAAGGGTGTTTGAAACGCGCTCACGAACACGGGATCCACGCAGTCTTCGAAGGTGCGAGTGCAACATATAAACAGATGCTGCAAAAGTACCCAGAGGTCACCCGAACTACAACAACACCACGCGAAACGAAACACGACGTGGTTCACCACATTCCAACTCGGGGACCCCCAGCCCACTGTAGACCCCGAAGACTGCCGCCTGACAAGCTGCGAATCGCCAAAGAAGAATTTCGGCGCATGAGGGAAAATGGCATCATACAGCCGTCCTCCTCACCTTGGGCCAGCCCTTTGCATATGGTCCCCAAAAACAATGGCACATGGCGTCTATGCGGGGACTATCGCGGTCTTAACGCAGTCACAATCCCCGACCGCTATCCAGTGCCGCACATCCAAGACTTTGCCGCCAATTTAAAGGGCAAGACAATTTTCTCCTCATTGGACCTATTAACCGCATATTTTCAGATACCTGTAAATCCAAGCGATAGACCAAAGACAGCTGTCACAACACCATTCGGACTCTTCGAATTCCTGCGGATGCCATATGGGTTAAAAAATGCTGGACAAACATTCCAGAGATTTGTAGACCAAGCAT